TGTACCTTTGACCTTGGCCACGTTGTTCAACCTCAGTGCTCCTGGGAGATCAGTGCTGCCTGATAGACTGTATCATTAGAAAATGCTTCCTCTTATTCAAATTTGATTTTGCTGAGAAGAACATCATTCCATTGGCTCTTCATTTACCATCCTCAATAAAATGACTCTCCACAAATAGTTATTAAGGGCTGGGGTAACCAAAGGAATAAGACGAATCTAGCACCTTTTAAAACTTAATTGACTTTGGAGATTCTGGGATTGTTCTGGCACGGTATCCCACAGACCCAAGAATGACAGACATCTTAATCCCTGTTAGTGCATGTTAGTGGTTACTAGTAGCACCTATGGGAGATGGCACTAAATCAGCCACCCAAAGACATCAAAGCAGAGACTATTCACCTCCTTGCAACTTGCACTGAAATGGAAACTACTCCAAAGGAGCTTTTATTTATTATGTGAGGAAAAGCAAAGGGAAGTACATTTGTTTAAAGGCTAATGGGGGAACTGTCACTGCCTAAAGGGGGGTTTTAAAGAAGACAGGGCAAACTCCTCTGAGGGAAACAGCAAAAGAGCACGAAGCAGTGAACACAAGTTGCAGCAGAGGAAATTTTGTTTAGACACAAGAAAAGATTCTTCTCCTGAGATGGTGTGGCACTGGGTCAGCTGCTCAAAGAGGCTGTGGAACCTCATCCTGGAGATTTCTAAATTCAAATGGACAAGGGCCTCAGATACCTGATCTGGCTTTGAAGTTCCCTTCTTTGGACTGGGGGTTGTAGTGTATGAATTTTCTGGAGGTCCATTCAAATTTTTTCCCCTATGATTCTGTTATATTAATAGACATACCTTGAAAAGTGCATTTAAAACTCATCCAACATCTGTGGAATGTATTTTAAAACTCTTATTAAACACAGAGCTTTGGTGGGGGAAAACAGAAGTTCTTGAGTTTTGCAACCACTCCAGTTCATATTACCAGCAGTTGTTGAATGGTGGTAAGAAGGGGTGGATATATTGAGAAACAAGGTTATGGGAGATGGAAAGGATGTTTGGGATGGTCTAATTTCCCTGAAACAGGGGCCCATATTTCAGTTATTTGGGAAGAAGTTGCAACAGAAGATTTGAATTCATGTACTCTTCCCTAACTTGTTATGCTGTGTCTCCTAGCATTTGTCGACGTGGCACCTGGATCTGCAGCAACGGGGAATGCCCAGGTATGTTGGCTCTACTCTCTTCAGGTTTTGACAGGTCAGCCTTGCCTAATCCCTCCTGCTTTCATCCCACTTACATTTTTCTTCACAAAAAGTTAATCTATCTTTGTTCTTACTTTCTTGCTCCAGTGCAATCCACATAGGATCATACTTCTAAGTTCTTCTTGTGAGACAAGTCAGAGATTCTGCTATATGGCTTATGTGTAGCAGTGAAAAATCCTATTTGGTGAGAAGAATGGTTCCTCTTTTGATGACTTAGTTTATTACGTTATAAGGGTCTGTATGTTCAGAAGGTTGGCTTTCAGGTAGAGGTTCACTGCTGCTTTCTTTGACCATGCACCATTCCCTGTGATTATCTGAATCAACCTACTTCATGGGGCAATTTGAAATACTGGGAGTAGGTTGGATCACTCCTAATACCCCATGGGTTTAGGCCCTAATGGTTATGTTACAGGTGAAGATGCTACAACCCCAGGGAAAAGGTGGCTGCCCTGCCTTTCCTGGGTGGCAGCAGACTGGAAAGGCAGCTCTTGCTCCCATTCCTCATACTCTACTTCCCATACTCAATAGTACTGGTGGCTACTGTCCCATTTTTATTCCGGTATAGGGAATGTGACTTTTCATGCCATGCGCTGGCCAGCAAAGTGCCAGTGCTGCTTTTCTTATTTCCTCCTGGGAGTTCTGTAGCTCATCACCTGCCTCAGTTCCTGGGCTATGTTCACAGGGAGGGGCCTGCTTGACCTGCAACAGCATTTGACTCTGCTTACGTTGTGCACAACTCTTTGCCTAGTTCTCCTTGTTTTCGGAAGCTGGGAGTGGAATAGTGGAAGGCATGAGAAGGAGACTGGGGTTGTGGTAGGACAGGACAAGAGAGCAGATTTTTGGAGTTTGGTGGGTTTGTTTTGGTTTGGGTTCTTTGAGAGGAACGTTGTGCGTAGCTGTCCCTGCAGGGAGACTGCACAGCTCTTTGCCTAGTTCTCCTTGCTTTCGGGAGCTGGGAGTGGAATAGTGGAAGGCATGAGAAGGAGACTGGGGTTGTGGTAGGACAGGACAAGAGAGCAGATTTTTGGAGTTTGGTGGGTTTGTTTTGGTTTGGGTTCTTTGAGAGGAGACTGTGCAATTCTCACAAAGTAAGAGCATAACAATAGTCTCAAAACAGCTAGCAAAAAGTCTGTTTTTCTATTAACATTAAGCTTGCCTGACCCAGCAATGTTCCATTTCTTTCTGCTTTAGACTGAAAGAGCACTTGCCTCAAAGTGTCAGCAGTAAAAAAAACCCCAAATCCCCACTCCAAAAGAGGGAGTAAGCAAATAATCAAAATAGAAATGACATTTTTAGTGAGCTATGCCAAGCAAGACTGTGATGAGCCCTGTGCTTGAGGTGTTCACTGAGGATCTCTCCAAGTGCAGGGGATATCACTGTCTAAAATGCAGAACCAAGGCCACAGCCCCAGCTGATTTGTTGTGTCTTTTAGCTAAAGGGAAGCAAGATGTGTACAAACAAGAAATAGGTCTTTTTCTGACTTCAGTTTTTACCTGAGTTACAGCTTTTAATGTCCTTGCTTTCTGGGCTACTATGACTGATAGACTAAATTTTTATCTTCAACTCAGCCATGGTTTCTTTGTAGTGATTACAGAAATGAAGATAAGCCGCTGCTATGACTGATACATGGACTAAATTTTTATCTTCAACTCAGCCATGGTTTCTTTGTAGTGATTACAGAAATGAAGATAAGCCTGGCTCTGCTGAATGAGCAGATGTCAAACAGAAAACCAGCTTGTTTTTGTGCCTTCCACCGATATATCCAAGTCACTTTTCAGCTAGATTTGTGCAAGACTAAGGTTATATAAGTGTAGCTGTTGTACCTGTACCTGCTAACATCTACAAACTGTACTGAGATAGTATGGGAGGGCAGCAAGGCCTCCCAAAGTAGCAGTCCCTGATAAGGAACAGTAGCCAAGTCTATCTTAGTACTTGTCCTGTTTTGTCTCTGTTTGAAACAATAGTGCAGCATATTTTTATTGCTGGTTGGTTATTTTTGCAACAAATATTTCTAGAATCGTATCATAGATTAGGCTGCAAGTTTGGTGATAAAGCTGGGTACCCAGCTGGAGGTGGCACTTCAGAATGTAGTGTTGTGTCAGCCAACAAGCAATAGCTGGCTAGCACTAGCAAGAAGCTCTCAAGCTGATACTATAATTAAATTAATTATGAAAGAAGCAGGTTTCAGGACACCTCATGGGAAACATTACACCAAATGGAGTAGAGAGCAAGACCCATAGGAAGAGATTTTGCCACAGGAAAGCAATTTCCCTCACAGGAGCAATGCCAAAAGGCTAAGACTTGTCTTGGTTAGCAGTCCCTAGCTCTCCATGCTGCAAGACTGTCCTCTTGGTTCCTAGTTGCAGAGAACACCCTGGAAGTCTTGCTGTGTGTAGTGTAGTGGGTTCTGCCCAGAGTTCTTTATGTTTGTGTTCCACATCTGACAGGCAGTTAATTGACTCTGAAGTTCACAGGAATAACACTTGTTTTACCTTTGTCCAAGTTTAACTGGACAGAAATTAGGATTTCCAGGGTGAGCTAAGGAAATACCAAGCCACCTTGATCTCCAGGGGATGACTAATATCATCTTTAAGTTGCCTTAAGAGTTTTCCTAAGGCAAGTCAGAGCTGTGCAAAGCTGAGAATCCTCAGAATCTCAATGGCTGTGCTTTAGCACTGGCTGGTTGAAGACATTTAGCACTGAATAATATGTTGAACAGGGAAATTTCCACTTGATGTTCATTAGACAGCTATTATGTGGGACTCAAAGGCAGTGAAGAGAGAATAACTCATGGGGTTCAGCTTGTAACTTTTTCTTCATCCTTTGTCAGTGGATTGTCAATTTAGGCCTGGCACCTGAATTTTGTTCTGGACAAGGTCTCTGCCCACCTTGTTTGCCATGGGACCACCTCTTAGTGTGATAGTCTTCTCATGGAAAAGAATTTTTCTGCAAGCTCTGCAGAGTCAAAGCCTCATAACAGGGAACAACATCCCAGTTGTGGCATCTGAATACTGTCTTCCAGCAAATGAAACCTCACAACTTATCAATATGTTTTAAGGTGTTGACATGTTTAAATAGTCTGGTTTTGCAGTAGAAGGGTGGGCAAGCCAGACTTTCACATTATTCTGCAAGGACTTTAGATGCAGCTATTGTAACTATAACGTGATCTTAAATTTTATGCTAGTTAATTAAGATAATGGTTCAGAGTAAAGTTCAGCACATATTCTGCCCTGGGAAGAACTCCAACAGTGATTATCTTCCAGCTCTTCATTCTGATAAGGTATTTTTACTTTAATGTTCGAATAACTTGCTGGTATTGAAACCCACAAAGAAATCGGCTGTTTGGGGGCTGTGTTCAAAGAGGCCATTGTGAAGAAGGCTTGCAGATAATGTTGCCTTCATAAAGCCATACTGCAATGCTCGAAAAACACCAGTGGAGAAACAAAGAGGAGGCTCACAGTCTGCCAAGATACTACTGTGAGACATAGACTGGGAATGAGGCACCTCTGCAGAAGAAGAGCAGAGCAGCAGAGTCCAACAAGTCTTCTTGAAAATTTTGATTTTCAGCTCTTTAAAAATGCCTGCATTCTACAAGCCTGCTCCATGGATGTAGATGTGCCCCACTAGGTTAAGTAAATGTGCATTCAAAATGTGATATGTCAAGATGTTGGAAGCTCCTTCATAAGGGTGAAGAGGAAACATGTCCCAGTGTATGACTAAAGCTGGATAATCCTGAGTGTCTTTCCCTGCTCTGCCAGTCTTAGACTTCCACTCTCCATGCCTCAGTTTCCTCATTACATCAGGAGGGAAGCTTAGCTCCTACAGAATAGAGAGCATGGGTTTCTCTTTAAAATGGGTTAGTGCTGCCAGCACCCATCATTTTGGGAGCAGGTATCACCTTGCCTACGGAGCGCCTGAGTGACTGCGCTGAATTTCCAGAGCCACTGAAGAATATGCTACAGAAGAATCAAATCGACTTCAGTGCAGAGAGCTGAGCTGTTTGATGTCCTCAGGACCCTCCATTTGAAACGTTATACAGGTTTTTCCAGAGGCATGAATTTCAGCTCTTGAGTGCCATTTATACCACAGTCACCAGCTTTTGTCGGCGCCTCTGTTGCTGCTGGTAATGACTTACAGGAATAAATGGTGAGATAAGCATCTCGCCAGGGCTTTCTGGTTTGCAGGGAACTTGGGCCTAGAGCAACCTGCTGCTCAGGGCTGCTCTTCTCCCTTAGTGGCTTGGTGGGGTTGGGCAGAATTTTGCTCACAACCGGCGCTGGGGCGATTAACAGCTCTCTGCGTTTTTCAGGAGAATGCTCTGTCACCGGCCAGTCTCATTTCAAAACCTTTGACAACAAGTATTTCACCTTCAGTGGGATTTGTCATTATTTGTTTGCCAAGGACTGCGTGGAAAATTCCTTTTCTGTGATCATCGAGACTGTGCAGGTAAGAGCAGCCTTGGCTGGCACCTGCGTTCCTCTGCGCATGCTCCTGAGAGAGTGGGAAGGGCTGTGGGGGCACGGTATGAACTGCAGATGCACAGGCCAACAAAAGTAATTTTCCTATGGAAATAATTAGTTTAAATAACAGATGTGGTCTTTCTCCTTGGTTAATAGATGTTTTGCTTCTCCTCGCTGCCGTTCCCAGGAGCCTACCTGGAGACGGAGATTCGTAATGAGATTTGGAGAACAGGGACTGAACCAGCTCTTTGCCAGCTGAACAAACAAATGCAGAGGAGGGTGTGCCCCTTGCACAGCACCCTGCCTGCTGGTGCCTCCCGGCTGCCCAGGGAAAAGCCATCGCCTCAGAGCAGGCTGCTCTGGCAGGGTGGGATGTTGGGTTGCTTTTCAGTATGTCATACTAGCTGGTGATTTCTGTTGCTTGCTAGCTGGTCAGAAGCTCCTGACTTTCCTTGCCATCTCCCCTGCTGGGTGAGGGAGAGGCAGCTGGAGGTCAGTGAGCAGACAGCAAAGGGAGCCAGGCCAGCGTGGGGAGGGTAGGAAATCCTGGAGGAGGTGTCACAGGGAGGTTAATTTGGTTGTGAAATTGGTGTGACCAGTTGCACATGGGAATAGGTGAACTAACTTGGAGACTGGAAAGAGTACTGAATCAAGCAGAGGGGAATAAAGGGGACAGGGATACAGGAGCTGAAGGCAAGGAGAGGTATGGTGGAGTCAGGAGGCTGATGAGAGTGGAGGGCAGTATCAACCTGCCCTGCAGGATGAGAGCAACTGTGAAGTCTGGAGAAACGGGGTGTGACGGTCAGTCCTACGCACCATCTACGTCTGTGCTGTGTTAGAAAGCTCTGATAATGCAGATCCGAGGTCATCTGAGCTTGGGAACTTGCAAAACAGGTTTCTACTGAAACTTCCCTTTCGAAACCAGGGAGGAGACCTGGGAGACTGCAATCTCTGTTCCTCATCTGCGTAATCATCGGCCGGGAAAATAAATAGCCCAGGAGCCTTGGGTGAACCTCACAGTGTTTCCCAGGGCAGTGTGGGGCCCTTCCTGCCCCTGCTGCAGCCTGGAGGGGCTGGACACTGGTCACCAGCACGGGCTGTTCCTGGGGTCCAGGGTAACGCCCATCGATTGCTTTCTAGGCTCTGAGCTGAGGAGCTGTGGATTGCTCCCCGGTGCGTAATTAGCAGGGTAATGGAAAAAGAGTTGCCAGCCTGGTGTTTGTGGGATGCAGAAACTAGATCCATAAAACCATCGAGACATTTAACACCTCCCAAATTAGATGCCTTCTGGGAGCCTGGGGCTAAGTCACCAATAATGTGAAGGCTTGAGGTTTGAGGCAAATTTTCCCTCCTCTGCAGTGTGCGGATGATCCTGATGCTGTGTGCACTCGCTCAGCTTCGGTCCGAATCCAGGATCTGGACAACAGCCTCATTAAAATGAAACATGGAGGAGGAATTTCACTGAATGGACAAGACATACAGATCCCCTTGCTACAAGGTGTGTTTGCACAGGCTATCTCTAACCAGCCACCAGAGGAGTCCCACTTACTAGTGTTCTCTGCCTTCCCCACGTCCATTTAAAAAATGTTTTCAGTGCCCAATTTTGACTTGCAACCTCTTCTAGAAGCTCTATCATTCCAGCTTCTCTCCATCCAGTCAACACGTCATGGCTCAGCTCCTCTAAAATGAGGGGAATTAAGCCAGTCTGGATTTGAGAGATGTGATCTTGAAACCCACTATGCTTTTAAGAATTATTGTTATTTTTAATCTGGAAGTTTGAAATGCCTCCAGTTATCTTGCAAAATGTCACGGTTAATGCCTGAGGTTTTGCAGGATGCCCATGTGTCCTCTTCTAGGATTCTGGAGTGCCTCAAAGCAAAACCTATGGGCCAATTCATGCAGGTGTAACCTGCTAAGCAGGCACAGAGCATGGAAAGTGTGAAGTGGGCATTGATGGAACCCCTTCCTTTGGCAGACCTGCATGGCCCCTGCCCTGTGGCAGCCGCTCTGTTGGGCTCTTCGC